AGCACCAACGGACCCACGGGCAACAGCAACGGGCTGGGAGATGCTCTGGGTGAAGCGCTCCCAGGGTAGATTCGTAGGGAGCAGGCACCAAGCTCCAGCCGCTTCACACGGGTCCTCCCCCCTGCGTGGACAGCTCAGAGTGGTGGGGTTACACACACACAGGGCCTGTTCCATCATTTATGCGGATATGGAGATGGAAAGGGGCTGGCCAAGCTCCACCTGAGCTATTCCCAGCACGAAGTTTTCCTGCTGGAGCAGTGGGGCGAGGAGCTGAGCCCTGCTAGGATGAAAACATCACCTGAGCAGCAGGGCTGTGGCAAGGACAGAGGTGGGATCACACACATGTGGGATCAGGGAGCATCACATCACCACCAGGCACAGCTGGAGGAGCAAGGCTGGGTGACCTCCAGGCCGCACAGCAGATGTCCAACACAACTTCCCCATTTCAGAGCTTTCGTGCCAGTTTGGTTTTACACCACCACCGCTTACCACCAATCCTCTAGTCTTTTAATGCAAAGCAAGGGCATATAAGGCAGGAGCACCCCACACCCTCAGGCCTCCCTGCCCCACACATTCCCAACAGCAGGATGTTGACATGTAGGTCACCAGAGCCAGGGGACCTTCCGCCGGGCAGCTGGGCTTGCCCACAGCACAGAGCACACCAGGGCGGGAGGAGGCCGGTGCTTCCCTCCTGCTGCTGCATGTCTCTCCCTGAGCACGGAGAAAGGCAAAGAGGATGTTGTGGTAGTGCCTGACCACCACTAAGACAAGAATCCCTGGGCTTGGATTATCCCAAGAGGAGAACAGAGGTACCCACACCACAGATAACAGACTCTTCTGCAGTACCTGTCCATTACCGTGTGCTATATCAGGCTGCAGCACAGCTCTGACCAAAGCACAGAACAGGATCTCCATGAGCCCGAGGTGGCAGCTGCACAACACAAAGCACAAACCACCTTTTCCAATAACACTCTAAATTCAGAGCAGTCTTTCTGCCCCCACACACAGACAGCAGTGTTTGTATGCATTATGTTTACACCTAAATCATAAATCACAGTATCACAAAAACACAGAGTGCCAGCGCCTCAGCACCCTCACAAAGAGCTTCTGCCTCAAAGCTCATCTCAACCTCCCCTCTGGCAGGTTCAAGCCATTGCCCTTGTCCTGTCCCTCCAGGCCCTTGTCCAAAGCCCCTCTCCAGGTTTCCTGGAGCCCCTTTAGGCACTGGAGCTGCTCTAAGGTGTCCCCTTCAGGAGCCTTCTCTTCTCCAGCTGACCCAGCCCAGCTCTCTCAGCCTGGCTCCAGAGCAGAGCTGCTCCAGCCCTCACAGCAACTCCGTGGCCTCCTCTGGCCTCACTCCAACAGCTCCACGTCCCTCTTGTGCTTTACGTTGAGTAGCTCCATATGACCAGGGGAAATTTAACCAAACTCGTCTTGCCTTTCCTGGCAAAACAAGGACTTCCTACAGTAAATGATAAACTCCCAATGCCCATTCCTGCAGCACCTGTGAGTGCTCTGAAGCCAGACACAGCTCCATCCACAACACCCAAACCCTGAGGCACCATAGCTCAACAGACGCCTGCACCAAGAGGTGTTTATTAAAACAAACTGGAGGCTCCAGAGAAGCAGCATGAAGCTGTTTAACACACACAGACCCAACACTCCTGCTGAGGGAGGATACATTTCCAAGTTAGGGCCAGTGTAAGAGGCTCTTGCAGAGGGATCCGAGACAGGGAAAGAACAAGGGGCTCACTGAGAAGGAGGAAGTTGTCAGGAGAAGGTGAAGTGAAGCAGCAAGTAGCACTCAGACAGATGATGGTCAGTGTAAATCCCTCAGAGATGGATCTACTAAGCACCACCTCGATATTGCTCAAGAGGGAATTCAAGCAAAGCATCGATCTCTAATAGAGCAGGTCAGTACATTTACACATTTCAGGGCTCTACCAATCTCCCCTCTCCCCCCAGGCACCCAAACATGGGGCTCATCATCTCTCTCATCAAATTAGAGCAGTGGGAGTAGCCCCTAAAAGGCTGAAGACTCAAAGGGTTGGGGTTACATGAGTGACGACACAGCCATGTTATGTCTCTGGGCTCCATGGCTCCTATTTCTTTCTGCCTCCTCTTTCCTTGAGGGCCAGGTGGATAAGGGAGCCACTGGTCATGTTGTAATAGGCCAGAGAGTTCGAGTCCTTGATGAAGATGCCCTGAGGAGAGGAGGAAAAAACACAGTCAAAGCAGAACTCTTAATGCTCTCTTCCCACAAACCCCAGAGCCGAAGCCCTCCCAGCAATGGTGACAGAACAATGAGGCTTTGGAAAAACCAGGAGATCCTAGTGTCTTGCAAGACAGGCACTGGAGGAGGTGGGGACGCCAGGAATGGCACAGGAGAACCAGTGGACAATACACCCCAGATACCTTCACACACACACACACACACACACATACACACACACACACAGAGTCACCACCATGAGTGAAGTTATTTAGAATCCCAGAATCCCAGCCTGGTTTGGGATGAAGGGTCCTTAAAACCCCCCCCGCCCCCACCCCCTGCCACAGGCAGGGACCCCTTCCACTAGAGCAGGTTGCTCCAAGCCCCTGTGTCCAACCTGGCCTCAAATGCTTCCACACTTCCTTTCTCACCAAGGGTTAACACAGTATCTGCCCACAGATGAACTCCCAAGTGTGCAAAGTTCACTGCTCAGGCAGCAGGTTGTGCCTGTGCATGACTGGAACCAAGACTCCCCCCTGCAGTCCTGTGTCCACCTCTGGGGCAACAAGACAAGAGGGTCATGGAGATGCTGGAGCAAGGCCAGAGGAGGCCTTCTCAGGGCTTCCAAGTTACTCTCACCCACCTTCCTTAGCGCACACAACAGCTCAGCAAGGGCACAGGGACACAATGACTTGTCAACCTGCCCCAGTAAAACAAAGGCTGACTTCAGAGAAAGCCACCAAGCCCAGAGGACCCATTTGCTGCAGCACCAACGCAACAGTCCACTGATGCCACCTATTCAAAGCTAGTCCTGCTGTCCTGGTGTGCAGTTCTGGATCCCAGTGTGCTGCATAAACAGGAACAACATTCTCTCTGCTCCCTGCAGCACCCCAGTAAGTGCATTACCAACTTCTTCTGGTAAAAGTCAGTTTGTGTGCAAGAAAGCACTACCATAGCAAGCAGCATTCCAAGGGCTTCTACCCACCTCGTACTGCAGCTTCTGCTTCCCAGCCGGCATCCCTGTTGCCTCGTGGATCTTCACCTTTATAACAGACACCTGGGGAGAAGCAAAGAGCTTGTTCAGGGGGTTTCCCTGTTGTGTGGCTGTCCCCACTGCTCCCCACACACCACATCCCCCCCACCATGGGAGGATACAGCGCGGGGAGCATCCGACGTTTACAGCTCCCACCACCAGGTCAGCTCCTGCTCCTCAAGGGGAGAGGCTCGGAGCACAGGGAGGAAGGGAACAGCCAGGTCTGTGTGCTACGTGCCTGGTCTGAGAGGGGCAGGGTGAACACCAGCACTTGGCCGTTCAGCTTCCATTCCGTCTTGTCCTGCATGTTGGGAACCTGGACTTTGACCGTGACTGGGCCCTGGAGGAAACACAGATAATGTCTCAAGGTGAGGAGGCTTCACTGCGTGATAACCAAGTGCCAGGCACAGTGTTTGCTCCCAACACCAGGCACCTATCTTGAGCTCTCCGTAAACACACACAAGCCTCAACGCTGGGAAAGTGCCTTCACTGCTCCCAAAACAAAGCATTTTGCTGGATTTCTCTCATGCCTCCCTCTGTTCATGCACTGATCATCAGGCACCACAGGCACTCACAGCCCTCCTGAAGGACTCAGAACAGCACATGCTGATGGCACCCCTCAGGAGAAGATGCAGTGCAACACCCAGTCCATGCTGCTATGGAATACTCACATCACCACAGTCATGCTGACACCGAGATATTGAATCTCCTTCCACCTCCAGCTCAGCAGTTCTTAAAACCTTATTAGCACCTTTAGCTCTTCCTTGCATCACCATAAACCCACCTCTCCCTGCCCTTAAGTGCAGAAGGGCACCATCTCCAGACACTGAGGTGGGGGTGAAGTGCTGCATCGCTCTTCCCAGCAAGGCACAGAGCACTTTGGGAATGCCAGCAGGAAGGAGCCACCTTGGGAGGTCACTCCCTTGTGCACACCAGCTCCTCTCCATACAGTGAACTGGCTTCACACCCCTGTGGGGCTGCAGGTCCCAGAGTGTGAGCACTCTGGTGCTTCTCCGTGAGCAGCCATACACACACGTACCTTGTTCCTGCGCAGGAACTCCTCCTCTGGGATGAGGCTGTCCTCACTCTTCAGCTTCTTCGAAACGGGCTCATCCTCCATGGGTGGAGGTGGGTGCACAGGAGGCATCGGTGCCGGGGAGGGAACTGGAGCCACGGGAGGAGCAGGAACAAAGGCTGGAAGGGGGCAGAGGGACACAACACAACGTGCAGTCAGCGCTGAGCACTCAGCAGGCACCCCTCACACACACACACTCTCTCTGGGCAAACCAGCAAGGGCTGAAAATAAACGCCAGTGTGCACGGAAGAAGTTCACAGAACCAACAGCAACATGCAAACTTCAAACATTAGATCTTTTATAGAGGGAAACAGGCCACAAAGAGACAACAAGCAGCAAAATAGCTTCCTGCAGATCCTGCAGAAAAGGAAGCTGGGCAGGCAGCAGTGCCAGCACCTCGCTTTAAAGAAGAAGGCAAAAGAAGTAGAAATGGAAGAATTGCCTTTTCCATTGTGCTTTTCAACACCCAATGCCATGAAGCTGCCATGAAGAAAGAGGCCACGTAACAGCTTTTCTCCCCCACTGCAGCAGCTTCTGTAAAGAGCTGTAACACCCAGCGAGGTGCTAGCAGATCCTCTTTACTCCGAGGCCTTTTGGGTGCTTCCCCTTCCCCTGGGTAGGCTCCCGGGGACACAGCCACCAAACACTGACACACAACTCACTGTTGTGCTGCAGGAGGAGCTTTGAGCCCCACAGCAGTTACTGTGAAACAGGTCACACCAAACACCCCCAAACTCCCGCTGATGGGGTCTGGGGTCTGCAGTGCCACCTACAGCCCTTAGCCCAGGCACCAAAGG